AATTTCGTAACGAAATTGTGGACATTCTCAAATTTTCACAGGTTACTGTAGTTAAAAAGTCTGCAAAAGCTAAGAACAGAAATTTATGACAGTTTTCACTGCCAAATTCGTTTTTTTCATAGTTCAATTAGTATAAACTCGCGAAGTGAGCTCAAAATCCCGAAAGCGGGGCGGGGATTCGCCCCCGTTCCGCTTGTCGAAAAACAACTTTGTTTAAAGAATCAGTAACCGAATTTTTCAGATTATTTTACGATTCAGGGTACCCAATTAGGCTACCCTGAAAATTTCAAGTCGATTGGTCCATTCAGTTACGCGCAATTATGCAAAGTATACCGCCTCCCGGGGTCTCCCCTTTTCGCCCCCAAGCCAACCCCTAGCCTCAGTAAAGCAAAAGGTGGGATGACGCTTCAAAGCTCTCACTGAGGCTACCAAGGTTTTCTAGTTTGTAGCCACTTAGCATTAGGAAAACAGCATGCGTGTTTCCTGAGGCTAAGTGACTACAAACTACAAACCCGTCTAAGCCTCAGTAAAAACTTCAAACTGCCATAACTCGGCTCTTTCTCAATCGTGTTCGTTGATTTTCGGCTTAAATTTTTTAGAATTTTCATTTTTTTAAAGCAAAATTTTAAAAAAAAACTCAGAAAATTATACAAATTTTGAGCTAAATATCATCAAAATTGGTTAAGAATAACCCGAGTTAAAACAGTTTAAGTTTTTACAAGTGACTACAAACTACGAAAATTGCTTAGCCTCAGTAAAGTTGCTGTGAAAATTGCAGCCATTTTGGTGAAAAAATCATCGAAATCGGTTGAAAATGAGCTGAGTTAGGGGTTTTTGAACTTTTACTGATGCTTAGGAGGTTTGTAGTTTGTAGTCTAAGCCTCAGTAAATGGTTCAGTATCGTTTTTCGTTCGTTTAAAAGCTTAATTTTTCTCATTTTTTATTTGAGATTTCTGAATTTTCAAAAAAAAAATGTTTTTTTCTGAAAAAACCTTGAAAACTTCTCCAAATGCTCCTTTTCCTAAAATTTGGTCCAGCTGAATCCAATCGTGTTGTAAAACCATGGATCTTCTGGCACTGCTATGATGGACGGAAAAATTTGGGACCACGAATTAATAATTTCAAAAATGTGCTCATATCTCTGCTTCGGAAGTCGCGGAAACTTTTCCTGGAGCTGAAATTTATCTTTTTCATTATTTTTGGCCCATTTTGAGCTTCAAAATGAGCCAAAAAACACGACTAGGCTCCGCCCACTTTCTGGAAAACTGCAGTAATCCCGAGAATGAAAAGTGGGCGGAGCCTAGCACACCTCTTTTTTCATTTTTCGAGCCTAATATCGCTTTTCAGCTCACCGCGACCTTCAAAAAGAGCCCAAAACGACTAAGCTCCGACCACTTTTTGGATTACTGTAGCTTTAGGAAGAGTGGGCGGAGCCTAGTGGTGTTTAGGCTCATTTTGAAGGTCTCAGGGAGCTAGAAACGGAAAAAGTTTGAAAAAATGCAGAATTCGGGAAACCAAAGTCTAAAGATTTAAACTTTAAAAAATTTCCAAAAAATCGTTGAAATTTGAAGTTTTTTCAAAAAAAAATTGTTTTTCGAAAAATTGTTTGTTTCTTATTTTTCTCTCTAAATTCTCAACTTATGCATATTTCAACTTTTCTATGCTTTTCAGCTCACTGAGACCTTCAAAACGAGCCCAAACATGATAGGCTCCGCCCACTTTTTGGATTACTGTAGAAAGTGGGAACGGAGCCTAGCTAGCGAAGTTTAGGCCCATTTTGAAGTTCTCAAAAAGCTAGAAACGATGAAAATTAGAAAAATGAAGATTTCAGAAGCTGAAAAGCAAACTTTTCAAGAAAAACATTTTTCCAAAAATATTTTTTTTTTCGAAAAATTAAAAATTCCAAAAACGCACCTTGGGACAAGTCCATCCATGCTGGTTGGTTCTGAGTCGAAAATGATAGACTTTTGAGGCGATTCTCACAGAAAGACACAGGAACTTGCCGGTTTTCGTAATCACCCGACGGACCAGAAACGAATGATCCCATTTTAGTAGTTTATCACAAATGTTGCCAAACATCAATCCATGATACCATGTATACGTTTTCAAATGATTTCTGATGTAGTCCTGGAAAAGAATAAGACGGAAATTTGGCGAATTTTGAGCCAAAAATCATCAAAAACCGATGAGAATGAGCCGAGATACGATGGTTATAGTTTTTACTGAGGCTTACGATTTTTTGTAGTTTGTAGTCGCCTGGCCTCAGGAAAACTTAGAATTCCAGTATCTCAGCTCATTTTCATCCGTTTTCAATGATTTTTGGCTCAAAATTTTTGAAAAAATCTCTGCTTTGAAAACTACAAACTACAAACTACACATTTTTCTAGATTGTCTCCTACGAAATGGCCGATTATTGATACATTTTTTATCATTTTTGGCTAGAAATTTCTGGAATTTTTTGTAGTTTGTAGTTATTTTTATTCCAAATAGTAAAATTAAATTTTACTAAAAATTTCCCAATATTTTGCTGTGAAAATCGTTAAAAACGGATGAAAACTGGCCAAGTTACAATGGTTGTTTTACTGAGGCTTAGGGTTTTTTGTAGTTTGTAGTCTAATCCTCGGGAAACTAGCTAGTGCGTTTACTGAGGCTAATAAAATCGTGTAGTTTGGAGTCTTTCAACTTCAGAAACCTCTCATAATTATTTGTTGTACTTTTACTGAGGCTAAGGGACTACAAACTACAAAATGTTCTAAGCCTCAGTAAAGCGTCATTTTATTTTTACTGAGGCTTAGAGATGTTTGTAGTTTGTAGTCGCTAAGCCTCAGTAAAAAGCTAATTTTAGAAGCTAGGAAGCTGAAAATTCGAAATTTCCAAATTTCCAAAAAATCGGAAAATTAAAAAATTCTGAAAAATCCAAAAATTTTGAATTTTTGAAATTCTGGAAAATTCAAAAAATTAAGCCCCGCCCCTTTTTTAACCTCTTCCGGATTTTCTTCTTTTCCACTGCTCGTTGTAGCCGTCGAACCCGAACTCGTCGCCCCATCTGATGTCACATCCGACAGTCCCTTATCACTGTTTTCGTCGGCCCCCTGCAAATGCGCTCTATTGAGGATTTGTCAAATTCCCGCCATTCTCAACGGAGCACACTTACATCGTTGCCATTTTCTTTTCCGTTGGAATTCATTGTTTTGTTCGCGAAATTTCTTTTCCGTTTCTTTTCAGTTCGCAAGTCGAAAAAGCGCAATATGTTTTGTGCGCATAAAATAGAGAAAATTCTAGAGAAATATTGTTTTTTTTGGCTGAAAATCTCCTAAATTTTCGGTGTTGGCAGTTGAAAGTTTTTCTAGAAAAAATTAGGTTGATTTCCACGTTTTCAGAGACAAAATTAGAGCATTTCGACCTATTTTTTTGTTTAAGTATTTTTTTTTTCAAAAAAATCTGATTTTTTAAATATTTTTTCCAGAAAAGTTTGCCTGTTTTAACAGCTAAATAATCGATATTTTTATAAAAATCAATATTTTTCTCGAATTTATGTCCTTCGTCCGTTTTCCCTGACTCTTTTTTTCTCTATTTTGATTTAAAAAAATCTAAATCACAGTTACTTTTTTTAAAAAATTCTCTTTCGTGACGAGACGCCAGCAACAATTTGGTTGTATGCGCCTTTAATGTCGATTTACGAGGGTCTACTGTATTTTCTCAAGTTTTTGCAGGACTTTTCGACTTTTTTTTGACGGTTTCTATCTTTTATGTCGTTCTTTTCATATTGACTAATTCATTTTTCAGACTTCTTAATCTCAATAATGCTATGAAAAGCGCAAAAAAAAAATGAAAAAGATGCATGTTAAAGCCTGAAATTCTTTGTTTTCGAAAATTTACCGATTTCTCTGGAAATTTTCCGATATTAACATATTTTTTACTGCTTTTCAATGATTTTTATTCAGAAGATTCAAGCAAAAACTAATAAATTCCCATTTTTTCTCTGAATTTCAATTTCGTGGCGAGACACAAACGACAATTTTGTTGCATGCACCTTTAATGTCAATTTACGAGGCGTACTGTATGTGATGGAAAGATAAACTTGGAATACATCTGGAATAAGTACCGTAGTCGCTTGCCGATTGGAAATCTTTATTAGTTGGCTCGCGAGACTACGGTACCAACAATATGGATAAATAGTTTTTACTACTCTAAAACTCTTAAAATTTTCAGCTTTTTATTTTCTCTAGTCAATCTCACTTTTATATGACTTTCGAATTAAAGGTGGGGGGACATGAGAAAAATAATGATGTCGAAATTCCGTTTAAATATGCTCCTCGAGGAGTTGAACTTGTCGAGGCGAGTGTTGAAGGTGCGGGGCCGCTACCGACTGAGCTACGCGTGCAAAGAGAAAGCCGCTGCCCGATTGCATACATAAAGGCGAGGACGACTGCTGTACGCAGAGTGACATTAAGCGTTGTACACCGTTACGGTAGAATGCATACTCTGGCCCCAAAAATCCCCCGTAAAATCTCCTGTCCCCCCACCTTTAAAAGTTTTTCTTATACTACCCCAGAGCGAAACTGAACCCAGAATTTGACATTTTTCAACAACGGAAACAGGGGGACGTGACAATTCTTCCGTCCGGCCAGGGGCCTATGTGGCAGAGTCCAGATCACGAAGCACAGCAGCCAGGACTGTGCACTTCGGCTCTTCCCATTCTTATTTCACTGTCTTTCGAGAAACTTTATCACAAAAAATGAAGCCAGAAATGTCCAGGCAAACCCCTAAAGAACTTTCCACTCTAGCTTCCAGATGTTTCTCGTAAAATGTTTGATATTTTCTAGATTCAGTATCTCTCTTCTGATTGGATTAAGTAATGTCTAAACTGAAGTTTTTTTTGGTAAACTTTTCCTATGACCTAAAATTCTAGTTGCAACTTTCCTACAGTTTTCCAAAGGAACTAAATCTAGATTTTAAGATGTTCTGAACTCAATGTCTTTCGAGAAATTGGTTAGCAAAAATGAAGCTAGAAAAGTGAGAGGAGGTCACAAGGACATCAATCACCTCTTCCTTATCTAGCTTCCAGATAGTTCTCGAATTTCTAAAATTAGGAAAAATCTAGGTTCAGTCCCTTCCTCCTAATATAATCAGTTTCCCTAGAGCTCTTCTCCCTTATTCCACTTTCTGAACCTAAATCTCAAAACAATTAACTAACTAAAAAGTTAAACAATTAAAATCAATTAATTAGCCACGATCCAACACGTCCACTTGTTGTCCCATTCTTCTGATCCCTCTCTTCTTCTGGCACATCATCCATTGAATCCGTCGAACCATCCTCCGCGCCGCCATCGTTCATCCTGTCCATCCTTAACGGTCATCGATCGATTTTCCGAGTGCCTGGAATTTATGAAAAATGAATTACTTAGAATGAAACTGGAAAACTCACCTATTAGTGCCTCTTTAACTTCGTTCTTATCGCCGATCTCTTCTGTCGGCACCCATGGTTTGGTTCTGGAAAACACAACGATTGATTTTAGAATTATTTCGGAATGATCGGAAAATTCGAGAAAATCGACCTATTTTTTGGAGAAAAATCGCAAAAAAATCTAAAAAATCGATAGAGAAGAAGAGAAAATAATAATATATTTATTTGCAATGCATGGGGAAATCGATAGATAATAATTTGATCACTAGAAATCAAAAAAAAAAAGCGACACAAAACTATGCGAAATCGATGAGAAATTCAATAGAAAATTCCAGAAAATCGACCCAATGTCCGAAAAAATGAATCGATAAAATCGGGAAAAGAAGCCGTTCACTAGGTCGCCAAAATGGCAAAAATGACTAAAATCGAAAACAAGAGAGTGAAATGACATTTTTCCCGGTAGACCACTTTTTTCGCGGGTCAAAAACATTTGTTGGTCAAAAATAGCAAAAACGAGGAGTGCAGGTCTAAAAAGCGATAAAAAACAATGCCGACGTTTGCAACAGACATGACTAAATCACAAATTTTTATGGTACCTGTAAATTTCCGATTTTTAAGCGAACAATGCTGAAATTCTGCGAAAAATGATGACAAAAATATAAAATTACAGTACTCCTCGTAAATCGACATTGAAGGCGCATGAGGCGAAATTGTCGATTGAGTCTCGCCACGAAAATGAAATTTGAAATACTAACACACAAATTTTGCGATTTTTTAGAAAATTCATGCATAAATGAGAAAAAAATAGCGAAATATTTATGAAATATCATCTTCTAACACTTCTACTGCTGTGCTAGCAGGCAAATACAGAGAAAGCCGGCGATTCTCGGAATCGATCTGAAAACTGTAAAGTTTCGGCTTAAACTCGCAGAATTTGCTCTCTCATGCACAACTTGAGAGGAAAAGTTTATGAATTTTGAAATTCAGGAAAAAATAAGCCTGAATAGCGGCAAAAAAGCGACAAAAATCAGCGAAATCTGTCGAAAAACCGAGTAAGAAATAAATATTACAGTACTACCTCGTAAATCAACATTAAAGGCGCATGCAACGAAATTGTCGTTTGAGTCTCGCCACGAAAAGAATGTTTAAAAATTTTAAACGAGATTAGCGCTTTTTCAGAAATTTCCTCTAAAAATAAGTTTTCTGAAAGAGAATTTCAGCTTAAAAAACACCAAAAAAATCAAGAAAATTTTCAAAAAGAAATGGACAATGCAAGCTAAGCATTGCATTGGTATTATAGTCAAACCCATTTGTGATATTTTTTAGATAAAAAATACAATAATTTTTAATGGAAAAAGGTCTTTTTGAGATAAAAGGAAAGCAAAATCGGAATAAATAGACGAGAACCCGCAAAAATCAATAATTTGAATAACATATTTAAGAAAAGAACAATTGAAAAATACAATAAAACTAGCTTAAAAATCGTTTTTTGGAGTTAAAAAGAATCAAATATGAAGTCCAAAATAGGTCGAAGACAGTGTAGTCAACATTCGACACGTTCTTCGCTTCATTTCCTCTCGAGATAGCACTGGTCCCACATTCTGATTGGCTGATAGCGAACTCGCCCCGGAATACTGAAAAAAAAACCTAATTAAAATAATGGAAAATGAGCTGAAAATGAACAAAATCGGTTGAAAATGATGAAGGATTTTACGGTGTTTTGAAGTTTTACTGAGGCTTTGAGAATTTTGTAGTTTGTAGTGTTTTAGCCTCAGTAAACACTGAAGTTTTTTTTTGCTGAGGTTTATGACATTTTGTAGTTTGTAGTCGTTAATCTTCAGTAAACGCACGCGCTGGTTTCCTGAGGCTTAGAATACAAACTACAGAATGTTCTGAGCCTCAGTAAAGCGTCACGCTATTTTACTGAGGCTAAGAAAACACGAAATGTCATACGCCTCAGTAAAAGCGCACACTGAAACATGACGGTTGTTTGAGGCTTAGCGACTACAAACTACAAAACTTTCTAAGCCTCAGTAAAACTTAAAACCCTCGTATCTCAATGAGTTTTCATCCGTTTTTGATGATTTTTGGCTCATTTTTCGTCAATGTTTCTCTATTTTCTCGCTTACCAATGTATTCAAACTCTTCGTCATCCGATTCGCCTGGTAGTTTTCACTCAACAACTCGACCGCCTGAATATCAATGATAAATTCCGCACAGTTGGCTCCAACGTCTCGCGTCTCGTTGTTCGCCAGCAATCTCATGGATTTTGTAAAACTTTTCGATTTTCCAGTTCGCAACCATTGACACGTCAGCAGGGACATTGTCAGGAAACCAGAATGGGCGGTACAAATGCGAAGGCGATGAAATATCTGCTCATCGTATAGTTTTTCTGGCGCTTTTTCCATCTTTTTTAGGTCATCCGGGCGGTCTGGAGGAATGAAATTAATTCTAAAAAGTGGATCTTGAACTGCAAAGTATTCCATATATTTCTGCGCGGCTCCTTGATAATCTTTTTCGATGTACAGAAAATCCGCGTAGGTTCTTAGAGTGTCTTCGTCGGTTTTCGAGATGGAATACGCTTTTTCAATTATCATTCGGAGGAATTGATGAACGTCGTCGAGATTCGGAATGTCCGTGTTTGTGCTGGAAATATTGAAATTATTGGAAAATTTGTAGTTTGTAGTTTCAAAAACACCCGAAAAAGCAAGAAAATTGGGCTAAAAATCGTTAAAATCAGTCGAAAATAAGGCATTCCAATTTTTCCTGACTAGGGAAGGTTGTAATCGGGGGGTGGAACTTCGGTATGAGACCTATATCATTCGAAAGCTGAGAATGAGACATTTTCAAACATGTATTCAGATTTTCGTGAGGAGCTACCAGTTTCGAGAAAATCAAGTTTCAAATTTGGCTCAAAATTGACTCTTAAGGGCTCCGCGCCTCCCCTCTTTCTTATATAGATTGGGGGAATGGAAAGAACCAGACAGCAGTAGTGTAGTGGCGAGGAGGGATGAAGAGTATCCAACCGGTTGTAGGTTCGATTCCTCTTCCCGTTATTGTTTTTTGATTTTATTTTTGGTTTTTGTGGCGATCTTCAAAATGCTATGAACGCATTTTTTTCGAAGAAAAATTTTAATTGGATACTTATTTTTTACTTTTTCACAAGTTTTGAAAAGTACGTACTCCATAGCTTTTGCAAATTTCTTGAAGCAACGCTACAAATCTTTTTTCAGTTCTTTATTTCAAAATCCACAAGATTTGTTCGTTATTGGGGTTGTGCAGTGATAAATCAATGATACATAATGTGAATCTATGCTTTTCTCAAGTTTTGAGTACTACTGGTTGATTATCGAAGAAATATGGATTGTAGGATAATCGAAAAAACATTAAAAGCTCTCGATTCCGAAAAGGATAGAGCTTCCAATTATTGCTAAAAGACTCATTTTATAGTTTCTGTCTGTTTAGAATTCGTTTTAGCACATTTGAAAATTTTTCGAAAAATAGTTTGAAAGGGGGCACCCCATGGATATTTTTCGTAAAATTTGCTTTTCTGTAAAATTGAGAAAACTTTGCCAGATCGTAGAGGAACATTTGAAATTGTAATTACAATCAAAAAACTTCCAAAATCTTTCACCAATCATCGAATGTCTTTCTCTCAAAAATCAAAATGTAGTTTGAAAAATGCTTCAAAAAAAGTTTTTCAAAGCATATAACATAAGTATTCCATAAGTTTTGAATAAAAGAAAATGATGCCATAAAGTTTTCAAGTTTTTTTCAAAAAAATATTTTTCGCAAAAAAAATCACCCTTTGCATTTGCAATTTCTCAGATTTCGAACCTGATTTTCTCGAAACTGGTAGCTCCTCAGCAAAATCAGAATACATATTTGAAAATGTCTCATTCTCAGCTTTCGAATGATATAGGTCTCATACCGAAGTTCCACCCCCCGATTACAACCTTCCCTAGTTAGACTACAAACTACAAAACTCCTAAGCCTCAGAAAACTTAAAAACGTTGTAAATCAGCTCATTTTTGACATTTTCAGCCAGTTTTCTTTGTGAATTGTAAGCTTATCAATTTTTGTAGTTTGTAGTCTCTATCGATATTTGAGGTTTTTAAAGCTACAATTTTCTGAAAAAGCTGAAATTTTCAAGTATTTCAAGCCAAAAATCGGTTGAAAATGTTGAAAATGTGCTGATTTACAGCGTGTTAATTTTTTACTGAGGCTTATAAAATTTTGTAGTTTGTAGTCGCCTAGCCTCAGGAAAAGTGCCACGTGCTTCTGACTGGTTGAGGTTTACTTAGGCTACGTGACAACAAACTACAAAAGTTTCTAAGCCTCAGGAAACCGCGTGGTAATATTTACTGAGGCTTAGACTACAAACTACAAAAATTTCTAAGCCTCAGTGAAACTGGAAAACGCTTATTTTCGACAATTTTAACGGTTTTTTGGCTTGCAAAACTTTAAATTTTCAGGCTTTTCGGTAAAATTGTAGTTTGTAGTCTAAAAGCATTAAAATTTTTTTTGGAAATTCGAGACCGAAACAGTGAAAGTCATTCGAAAATCAAGCGATTTGAAGTTGTTTCATCAGTAAACGCCGGCCAGTTTTACTGAGGCTTAGACTACAAACTACAAAACTCCTAAGCCTCAGAAAACTTAAAAACGTTGTAAATCAGCTCATTTTTGTCATTTTCAGCCAGTTTTCTTTGTGAATTGTAAGCTGTCCTGTAGACTACAAACTACAAAAACTATTATTTAGTTTTGAGCTGATTTTAATGAACTTTTCGCAGTTATTTTGGAAATTCGGTCCAAAAAATGGGTCCAGGGCTCAAATTTAGAAGGGATTTCAACATCTAGGCTCTAAATTTCTCACATCGTTTCATTGGAATACAAATGAACCAGTTTCGCATGAATTTTCAAGTGCGATTGCTTCTTTGCCAGCATATTTCGATTATGTAGAAACACAAAATACGCCAGAATGAAGTCCAGAAGATTCTTCTGCTTCACCAACGACATCATATGATACTGTAGTACTAGCTGACTTCTGAATGCCAACATCTTTTTCTCTGCGTCGTGCTCTCTCCGCATGCCGCCACGTGGCGGTTGTGCTCCGACGATGACCGGTGTCAGAGATCTCAAAAATCCATCGGCACACTTTTTGGCGACTGATTCGTCGGTCGCCGGGATGAAAGCACCAAACATTCGGGCGATTGGAATACATTTGAAGATGTCTATCGGAATTCTGGAATAATCTTTTCCTTTTGAATTTTTGATAGAAAAATTCCAAAATTTCGAAAATTTTCAGCTAAATTAAAAAAAATCACGAATTCTTGAATTTTTCCTGATATTTTAAAATTCTAGAACAACAAATTTTCAATTTTTAAATAAAGTATTTTTTTCAGCTAAATTTTCAGCAAAAAAACTCACTGTCCTCCCTTATCAAAGACGATTTGATGGTCTCCAAGATTGAGCATCAACGAAATACACTGAAAAAATATTGATAATATTACAGAAAAAATCCGAAAAATCGCTAAAAATGAGCTAAAAATCATCAAAATATTTTTAAATAAAAATTTTTTTTTTTTTTTTTTAAATCAAAAAAAAAATTTTACTGAGGCTTAGAAAATTTTGTAGTTTGTAGTTTCTAAGCCTCAGTAAAGCTCAAATCAACTTTACAGGCTTAGCATCACTTGTAGTTTATATTTAGCCTTAGTAAATCTTATTGTCAGTGTAGATTTTACTGAGGCTTACACTACAAACTACAAAAATTTCTAAGCCTCAGTAAAATCCATTTTCAACACAGGAAAAATCTCTGAAAAATCATCAAAATCGATTTTACTGAGGCTTAGAACTTTTTGTAGTTTGTAGTCTCTAAGCCTCAGTAAAAGTGTCACCAGTTCAACTGAGGCCAAGCGACTCCAAACTATAACTTTTCCTAAGCCTCAGTAAACGCACGCGCAAGTTTCCTGAGGCTTAGACTACAAACTACAAAACTTCCTAAGCCTCAGTAAAAACGAAAACCCCCGTAACTTGGCCAATTTTCATCGGATTTTCATGATTTTTGGCTCAAAATTCGTCAATTTTAAGCCCAAATCCCTTACTAACCTGATTGTACATTTTTGCACTATTCTCATTGACTCGAATAAGCTTTTGATCGAAAATCAACGCCGAATCCGCGTTTGTCACATCCCAATGTGCAATTTTCCATGGCATATGCGCGTTGGAAATCAACGATTTCACGTAAACCGATTCAAATGCCAAATCTACACCCATATCTTGCCCCAAATCGGGGTTGTAGCTACTCAAAGTCTCCAGATATCCCCGAAAATTATGCATTCGTGATAATTGATATAATTTTGATAAGAAGAGTCTTGTAATCGTGTATATCGGAGTGTTGGCTCGTTTCTCAAGTGTATCCAGTAGAAATTCGGAAACTGGCATTTTTAGAGGGAACCAGAATGGACCAAGTTCCACTAGTGCCATTTTCAGGATGTGCACATCGAATTCGGTCATCAGAGCCCAGAATGGATCATTGCCACGGAGACTGTCTGAAAAGAAGTCGAATTTTAAGATTTTTGTATGAAAATTAATCTTAAAATCAGTGAAAAACTTGTAAAAAGTAAATTTCCCTTTGAAATTTGCGATTTTCTCCGAATTCCTGACTATTACTCACAAAATAAACATGTTCTTTATATTCAGAATATTCAAAATAGTCGAAAAAGTTTTTGGAAATTCGAATTTCGAGCGATTTTCAAAAAAAATTAAGACTCTCCCGGGAAGGGCTCTACTCCTCCTCCTCCCTCTGCCGACCACTTACGCTGCGTCTCTCCTCTCCGCACACTCTTTCACCCGGTCGCCCACACTAAAGTATAGTGGCGCGCGGAACCCGTGAGATGTCGGCCGCATAAAAACACTAGGCTATAAGAGCGCGCGCCTCCCCACTCTCTATTCCGAGGTTGGCCGGAAGAAGACGGTTGGGAGAGACACAAAGGCCTTAAACTATGGCCTAAACACTCCCGGGAAGGTCTGAGAGAAGGCTTGAAATAAGAGATCTAGGAGATCTTTCAGTTTCCTTATAGAGAAGAGGCTGTAGAAGAAGAGTTTCCCCTGTTCGGGTTTGGAAACGGCCTCAGCCAGCAATCCAATAAGTACTGAGTGCGATCGTCATACCAACACAATTCAGACTAGTCTTCGGCCAACCTTTTGGGCCCCTCGCTTTTTTTTGAGGTTTGAAAGGGACCAGTTTTAGGAGCTACAGGCTAATTTTACAAGCGAAAAATGAGCCAAATCGAGATTTTACGGTCTATTAAAGGGCGAGAAATTGTTGTTTTCGACATTTTTGAATAATCGTGAGCAATTTTAGACCATTTTTGGATCATTTCAGACCATTTTAGACCATTGTTGGATTATTTTAGACCATTTTGGATCGTTTTAGACTATTTCTGGATTATTTTAGACCATTTTCTGATCATTTTTGGGTCATTTCAGACCATTTTCGGATCATTTTTAGACCATTGTGGTCTTATTTAGTCCATTTCGGGTCATTTTTGACCATTTTCTAATCATTTTTGAATTATTTTTAGACCATTTTTGGACCATTTTGTTATATTTTAGATCCCTAATTGCATTAAAATGTGTGGAAAAATATTTAGATCAACTATTTAACTAGAATTTTTGGTATTTTAACTAGAATTTTTTGGAATTTCAACTAGAATTTTTGATATTCTAGCTAGAATTTTTGGTATTCTAACTAGAATTCTTGGTATTTTAACAAAAATTTTTAATATTTTAACTAGAATTTTCGGCCCTTTTCGCTCCTAAATGAGCTGATTTTCGCTTTTTTATTACTAACTACTAATCTGCTCCGTGCTGGGTGGTCTCTCCAGATTCTGATGTTGTGACGGCGTCACAAATTGTCTCAATCCCTTTACATCCACCTCATTGGCCGCTAATATATCCCTTAGATCCGGAATCGTCGCACAGAGGAATTGAAGTTGAGCTCGGATTCGTTGCAGGCGTCGTTTGTCTGAAAATATTAGATGTTTTGGTGTTTTAAGGCTATTATAGGTCTATTTTATCTTATTTTTCTGAATTTTGGTTATTTTTTCCTGAATTTTGGTTATACTTTTTCGGAATTTTGCCTGTTTTTTTTTGGGATTTTTTGTCATTTTTTTTTCTGAATTTCGGCCTTTTTTCTGAATTTCGATTATTTTTTTCCGGATTTAGGTCTTTTTTTCTAAATTCTGGCTAATTTTTTAAAAATTTTGTCAAATTTTTCCCGAATTTCGCCTTTTTTTTTGAATTTTGGCTAATTTTTTCTGAATTTTACCTTTTTTTTGGGATTTTTTGTCATTTTTTTCTGAATTTCGGCTAATTTTTCTCAGAATTCTGTCAAAATTTTCCTGAACTTTGACCAATTTTTTTTTAAATTTAAACTATTTTTCTCTGAATTTTGGATATTTTTTCTAAATTTTGGTTGTTTTTTTCCGGAAATTTGACTCATTTTTTCAGATTTTTTCCGATTTTTCATATTATTTTGAGCCTTATTTACCTCGAATTCCCTCCAATTTCTTTTTCAGCACCTTCGAGAATCTCTCCACCTCTGCAGTTGTCTTAATAGCATCCCTAATACATTCCGGATGATTTTCAGCCACCGAACACGCCGCATTTTCAGCCTTATAAACACTTTGAAGCTGTCCAGACGTCTCCTGAACGCCACGTTGTCTCCAGACCTCACTTTTTCGATTTTCCTCATCATTCAAAGCGTTTAGATCAAAAATATATGGTTTTATGGCTCCAGAAGTTGAGTAATCCGTCCCTTTAACATTTAGAATCGCACAGTAAGCTCTGAAGACGTCCTCATCGATTGCCACCATTGGATGTGCGGTTTTTGGTTTTGTGACCCTTGATAGAATCTTTTTTGCCTCTAGAAGCTCTCCATTTGTATAATGAACGACTACTAATTCGCTGAGACACTTGTTTGCCACGTCGGCAGCCGGAAGAATCACTTTTTCGGCTTCAAAATCCGCGGAGGGATTCTCGATGAGCACATTGCGATCGCCAAGGAATGCTGCTGTCATTGCTCTAAAAAATATTCTAGTTTGTAGTTAAATTTGTAGTTTGTAGTTCTTTAAAGAATCAGGAAAAAATGAAATTTTTGAGCTAAAAATCGTAGAAAATCAGACGATTCAAAGTTTTTCCTGAGGCTTATCAATTTTTGTAGTTTGTAGTCTAAGCCTCAGTAAAAGTACTTCGTGCGTCTGAGTGATTGAGGTTTACTGAGGCTAAGTGACCACAAACTAAAATAGTTTCTAAGTATCAGTGAAAAACGCAGTAAACTTTACTGAGGCTTAGACTAAAAACTACAAAATTTTTCTAAGCCTCAGTAAAACTTTAAAAACGCTGTAAATCAGCGAACTTTCGACATTCCCAGTCGGTTTTCGGCTGGAATTACTTAGAATTTTCGGTTTTTTTTCTGAAATTGTGTAGTTTGTAGTCTGAAAAAATAAAAAAAGGAACTTAAAATCGTGAAAATTAGGCGACCTAAAGTTTTTCCTGAGGCTTACGAATTTTCGTAGTTTGTAGTCTAAGCCTCAGTAAGAACAAACGCTAGTTTCCTGGGGCTTAGAAACTACAAACTACAAAAATTCCTAAGCCTCAGTAAATCCTAAAAACGCTGTAAATCAGCTGATTTTCGTCATTTTCAGGCGATTTTTTCTTAAAATGCTTGAAACTTTTAGATTTTTCTGAAACTTTATAGTTTGTAGTCTGAAAAAATCTGATAAAAGGAAAAAAATGATCTTAAAATTGTGAAAATGAGCCTAAGCCGGTTTTTGATGAACTTTTCGCTGCTTTTTTGCATTTTCAAAGTATTTCAGGTGAATTTTCAATGTGTTTTCAAGTCAATTCGTGCAGATTACATACTTCGGTGCCAACTCGACAAACGGCTTCAAAAAGCACTGTATTCCCGGAGCCACAATGTCACGTGGCACTTCAGACAGCTCCGTTATGAATGCCTTGGCTTTCATAATATGATCTTTTAGCTCTAGAATCGTTCTTTGTGTCTTTTCATGTTTCACAGACGCCGGATCGAGGGGCATAATTTGTCCATTGCTCAGCGTTGTGGCAATTGTGGCTCTCGGCGCCGGTGGATCCAGACGGTTCCGGCGATCAATCGATAACACAAATCGATAGAAGAGCCAGTTGCCAAAAGTGGCATCCAGATTTTTTTCATTGTAGATACGGTAGAAATTGTCGGCCAGGACTCGCAGTGTGAGCAGTTCATTTCGATGGATACTGTAGAAAAAACTTTTTTGCAAAAAAAAAATTTTGTAGCCAGACTACAAAGACTACAAACTACACTGTTTCTCACTTGTCAATCACAAATTCTATATCGAAATCCAACGCGGCAAAAGTGGCCATTGCACAGAGTTTCATGCTGGCCGATTTTCTCTCGAAAAGCATTAGCTCTTCCACGGCCAGCTTTCCCCGCTCTTTTTCTCGTTCGGCCAGGAGTCCTTTGTCTGTGAACTGCATACATAGTTTGGGAAGTTCTGGAAGAAATTTGAATTTTTTGATTTTTCAAAATTTTTCAAAAAAATTTTTTTTTGAGTTTTTTGAGCTCTAAAAATTTATTTTAGGCATGTAAATCGTTTTTATATAGCTTCTTAAACCTTTTAAAATTTTTTTTTCGAAAAACTTTTAAAAAACCTCCACTAACGTTTCTTCTTCTCCGGGTCTAGAATCGCTTTTGACACAACTGTAGGATCCACGAAAAGCTCAAACCATGATAATTCACCGTTTGTGTCAGGGTTATCCATCTGAAATTCCAGTTTTTTCGTAAAATTCGAGCTGAAAAATACAGAAATTCGAAGAATTCCTCTTGTCCTCGAGGAGTACACGGCCGCGGTGGCCTAGGATGCGACAAAACTCGGCCAGGGAAAAAAAAAGTTCGTCGGAAAAGGAAATAATTTCTGACCTGTTTTCCGTTGTTTTTCTTGGAATTCTAGGGATTGTCTTGGAAAAATAACATTTTAAAATCACAGAGATCTAATATTTAGTCTTTTAAAACAATCGGATTTATTAGCAAAGGGCAAAAAAGCGGGAAAAATGCGTAGATTTTTGAAAAAAATACATGAAAAAACATATGGCTCGAATAAAGCTAGGCGAATGATCGGAAGTGAAGAATCGATGGATTTTGATTTTTTTTGAGTCAAAAATTAGTTCAAAAAAGAAAAAATTAATTAACATTCATTCGATTGACTGGTAATCGCCGAGAATCCACCTCCATTCTGCGTCTCTTGCATCTTTTTCGTCATTTTCATCACATTCAGCGTTGGGAAATATCCGAGCCCTTGCAAAAACAGCATCATACTCTCCGTAACAGCATCCGGGCGGTCATCCAGCACCAATCCACACGAATCCGATATTTTGATCCAGTCAGCGTGGGCGGGGTCTAGTTTAGTGTTCACCTCGACGGTATCCTCCACGTGGGCACTTCCAGCACCAACTAGCTGGAGAACTGGAACTTTGAGTTGAACACCAGTGGTACCATCCCGGGAGATAGGAAGGGGGGATCTTTGAATATAGGATTCAATGAAGGCCGCCAAGCTGTTCGGATTCGGAAGGTGTTGGAAGAAGACGCGATACTGACGAACAATATCCGGACTGCATCTGTCATAATTCCTTCCAAAATGGTGCCACATCAAGTAGTCCACAGTAAACTTTGTCATGCCCACTTTTCGCAAATACGACGCATTCCACTTTTCGTATCCCCACTCGACCCATCCCGACTTTCCAGAACAGCAATTGACAAGGATCAGGGCGATGACACGATTCTGATTTTGAGCCGCGTATCTGAGAAGGACGTTGGCACCGACGCCGACACCGAATCCAATGAATTGGTTGATTTTGAAGTGGTCCGCCACGTTTTCAATGGTCTTCGCAACACCGTCCATCGTTGGGTATTGATAGCTGAAAAATTGTAGTTTGTAGTCTAGAATATGAGCTTTGGAGTTACGAATTTGTTGTTTGTAGTCTAGTTTTCCAAATTTTTTAAATTCTAAATGTTGTAGTTTGTAGCCATGCTTACTTTTCTGGAAGTGGCTGAGCATCCATCTCCTGACCGGGTGCATTGATATTGTAGATGCAGAATTTGTCGGCGAACTCGGCGATCGACACGAATTGGAAGAAGTTTTGGAAGTTGCTCTCCGCTGAAAATTTGAATGTTGTGGTTTTACTGAGGCTAAGCGGGTACAAACTACAAAATACGAAAAATTCGGGGAACTTTGAGCCAAAAAATCATGAAAAACGGATGAAAATGAAGCGAGTTACGACGCTTTGAATTTTTACTGAGGCTTAGAGAATCGTCTAGTTTGTAGTCTAAGCCTCAGGAAAGCCGAAAAATGTTTTACTGCGGCTAAAAGGCTACGAACTACCCAACTTCAGAAGCCTCAGTAAACCGCGCCCTAAGCTTTACTGAGGCTTGGACTACAAACTACAAAAATTCATAAGCCTCAGTGAAACTTCAAACCACGGTAAAATCCTTCATTCTCAACCAATTTTTATGATTTTTGGCTCAAAATTCTTCAATTTTCCTGCTTCTCTAGTATTTTCTACTCACAATCAAGTCCCAAATCGTGGAAAGTGATCATTGGGACCTTTTTGGGATCCTTACGATCACCATAAATCGACACTTTGACTTGCCCGAATGCCGTATTCACTTTTTCCTCGGCAAAATTATTCGCGGCCTCCTCCATCAGCGGTTGCATGTCGCGAGTGAACGAGTGCATTTCTATCGACGCCATTTCTGGAAATATTGAGCATTTCTAGGAGAAAATTTGAATTCTGGGGGCTCAGATGGACTAGAAAAAACGATAAAATGAGTGAAAAACAGGAAAAAGGAGTAAAATCTAGGAAAAATGTCGAATTTCTCAGGTTAAAATGAGCAGAAAACCTATTTTTAGAGAGTTTTGGGAATAAAACTCAATGAAAATATCGAAAAATCGGAACAAAAATGTTTTGAAAACTTGATGAATCATTTAAAAATCAAAAAAAAACGACGGTTGAAAGTTTTCCTGAGGCTTAGAATCTTTTGTAGTTTGTAGTCTAAACAAAACTACAAATCTCTGAAAAAACTTGAAATTTCAAGCATTTATAGCTAAAAACCGGCTGAAAATTCGCTGATTCACAGCGTTTTCGTCTTACTGAGGCTTAGGAATTTTTGTAGTTTGTAGTCAAAGCCTCAGTAAACTAGCACGTGGTTATTGAGGCTAACTGACTACAAACTAGAGACAGTCGTTAGCCTCGGTGAAAGCTTCCCATAGTTTACTGAGGCTTAGACCACAAACTACAAACTTTTCTAAGCCTCAGTAAAAACTCGAAACGTGGCTTTTCGGGCGTTTTTAAAGCGGCTCAAGACCCAAAAACACGTGGTTTTTGAAATTCTCGAAATTTCAAAATCCACACGGAATCGTACAGTTTTTGCATCAACATAGAGGGGGAAAAGAGGTGAAAGTAAAACGGTAAAACATATGATCGGTGAGGAAAGAGGGAGCTAGAGAGTATCGAAACCAGGAGAGATGCAGAGAGAAAGTCTCGCCAGGCTGGTCAGACGACCAGTGAGAGAACGAAAAGTCTATTGATTCTGGGCGCTTCTGCCAGCAACCAAGCTGCCTTCTCCTCTCTTTTGTTGACCCAGGAAATATTCGAAATGGAAAGAGAGAAATAGAGAAAAAAGAGGAAAAAGGAGAGAGAAACTTGAGAGATAGAGAAATTTGAGCTTGTTCGCGAGAGGGAAATGAAATTTGAAGAACTTCTTTATCTATTTAGAGTGCTACTCTTGGCTGGAAATAGAGAACAATGGCTGAAAAAAGGGAAATCGGCTGGAAAAAAATCCAAAAATTCGCTGAAAATTTATCAGAAATACGCTGCGTTTCTCAGTTTCACACAGTGTCTAGTTCAGGTGCCATGGAGCGCACTTGCATTATCAACGTTTTTTTTCAATTTTTCCAGACTTTTCAGATTTTTAGAGCTTCAAAATGACTTTTCGACTGAAAATCTCGGAATTTTGCTGATTTTAATGAATGATCCTAAATTTTAGCTACGTTTTAAAACCGTTCTAAACCGTAAAAGTTTGAAAAATGAGCGAGAAAACTCAATTTTTAGAAAAATTTGGATGAAAATTTTTTTCCAGATTTTTCAGATGTTCGAAGTTGACTTTCGAGTCGGATTCTGGTCTTGACAAAATATTTAAAAATTTAGCAATATTTTAAAATAACCCGAAAATTCGAAAAATAAAGCAAAAAAATCTTGATTTTCATGAAAAACGAAAAAGATGATTTTTTGCTTAAAACCAAAAATAGCTAGTTTTCGCTTTTAAACCAGGGTTAGCATAATATTCTAAAAGTAATAAAACTAATAAAGTCCCCAAATAGGCCTAACATTTCCTTATCAAGGTCTTTCTTTCCTTATCAGTGCATTTTATTGACCAATCACCTTCAAAACCAATCGATTCTTCCTTCAGAAAATTCTGCGTAGAATGGCTGCTACTTTGGTCTCTAAAAACCAAAGCTTCCAGGGAAAACAGTATGTCTATAAGCATGCAAGGTAAAAAATCCGAAAAATTTAAAAATTTAAATTTTTCAAAATTCCAGTCCAACAACCCAATGTGGTATGACATTCGGTGTCTATATCCCAGACCATGAGCCAGATGAGAAGCTCCCAACCCTCTTCTATCTCTCCGGCCTAACCTGTACCCATGCCAATTTTATGGAGAAATCCGGCTTCCAACAATACGCTTCTAAACACAAAATCATCGTTGTCCATCCCGATACATCGCCACGTGGCTTCGATATTGAAGGCGATTCGGATAGTTGGGATTTTGGAAAAGGGGCGGGATTCTATGTGAACGCTACTGTGGAAAAATGGGCGAAGAATTATAGAATGTACGATTATATTGTGAAGGAATTGCTGGAAGAAGTGGCTCCAAGTGTGGCTCCGATTGATTTGGGAAGAGTTGGTAGGTGTAGTTTGTAGTTATTGTAGTTTATACTTTTCTATTTTCCAGGAATCTTCGGCCACTCAATGGGCGGTCATGGTGCTCTCACAATCGGACTGAGAAATCCCGGAAAATTCAAATCCATTTCTGCATTTGCCCCAATTTGCAACCCAATCACCGTTCCATGGGGACAGAAAGCCCTTACCGGCTACCTGGGACCAGATCAAACCACGTGGCAGCCCTACGACGCTTCAGAAATCCTGAAGACGTACCAAGGACCTCGTCGGGAGATCCTCGTCGATCAAGGAGCGTCGGACAACTTCTTGGAGCAACTGAAGCCAGAAACTTTGAAGCCAACGGAGCATGCTGGCGTCGTGCTGAGAATCCAACCGGAATTTGATCATTCTTACTACTTTATTGCCAGTTTCATGGGAGACCACTTTGAGCATCATGCCAGAATTTTGAAGGCTTGAATTTTCCGAATTTTCCTTCAAATTCCCTATTTTCACCATATTTTTCTTGTTAAATATTGTAAAAATTCCAGATTTTTTTCTTTTTTTTCTGTTGTTTCAATTTTTGTAATTTATATAAAAGCAGCCACATTTGACTACAGTCTAGCCAACTTTGGTTGATAAGGGGAAATCGGAAACATGTGGTCATTAGGAAATTATTTATTTTCTTTTCCTGTTTTTTCCCTTTTTTAGGTCAAACAATTTTTATTTTTTGGCAAAAATGCTTATTATACACGTAGAAGCGTCAGTCACAAAAATCAAATTGAGGTTATTTACAGCTGAAAATGCTTAAAAATCGATAAAAATTAACTAGAAAAATTCGAAAAACCGGAGAAAAACACAAATTTTGAGGTTTTTTAGAGAAAAAAGGCAAATTTCGTAAAAAAAAGAAAGAGAGAACGGAGCAAGAAGAGAGCACTGGCAGAGAGAAAAAAAGAAAAAAATACGACTAATTAGGCCTTAATTGGTGATTTAAGACGAGATGATCGGCGCCACGTATCGGAAGCGGGTGACGGCGATAGAAAGAGATCGCAGAGTTTATCGATCGGAATAGAGGTCCCTCGCCTGAAAATTCTATTATTTGAAACTAGTAAAATCAGAAAATCCAGAAAAAATGCGAGCTAAAAATCGTCAAAAACGGTTGAAAATGAGCCGAGTTATGGCGATTTGAAGTTTTTACTGAGGCTTAGGAGTTTTTGTAGTTTGTAGTGTCTAAGCCTCAGTGAATCAGGGGAGGCTTTAGCCGTTCAAAGGTTTTTACTGAGGCTAAAGTTTGTTTGTGGTTTGTAGGCGCGTGGCCTCAGTAAACACGGTTATAGTTTTACTGAGGCTAAGCGGCTACAAACTACAAAAGGCTTCTAAGTCTCAGTAAAAACTTCAAATCCCTGTAACTCGGCTCATTCTCAACCGTTTTTCATGATTTTTGGTTCAAAATTCGTTATTTTTCGCGATATTTTCGAAAATCCAACTTACCAATGACCCATTTCTCCCCATTCCACTCAATTTTAATATGTACCACTCCTTTGGTAGCTCTCAGTGATAGTGCGGCACTTCCCTCGCCACGTGATCGCAGAAGAAAATCCCCAAGATTTCGATGTTCCAGCCGTTTTTCAGCTTCCACTCGATTCATATTCGGTTCCATGTGAATTTCCGAATCGCTCTGAAATTTTCAAGTTTACCTCCAATGCAATTTCGCTCTACTGAACACTTACAGGTCTTCTCCGTTTACTCTCATCTCTCTGTTTCCGTCTGGCGTCAACAGCCGAATTCCCGATTTGTACGAGTTGATTGACGAACGAAGAGCTTGAGCACATTGACGGTGAGCCTGGAAATTTGAAATTTGAAATTTTGGTTTGGCGGGAATTTGAATTTTTGAATATTTCAAATTCGGATTTTTTGGGGTTTTTTGAAATTCATAGGGTTAACCTAGGTAATTGACTGGAGGTAATTAAATATAGAAGTAATTATAATTTTTAAAAAGTATAGTTTGTAGTTTTTGTAGTATTTGTAGTCTCTGCTTACCGTGTGGAGAGACTTTAGCATCTCCTGTCGCTGTTGTCGACAGCCGCACGTCGGCTGTGGAGAATCTGACAGAATTGGGGCGGGCCAAAAACTCCCAAGGAGTATCGTAGTGGTCTTCGGAACCGAAATCAGCTGAATTGGCCATCGTCATCATCATCTTGTGTCTCTAATTGGGCATGCTGGAAATTTTAAATTTTGAGAAAAAATTTTTTTTGAAAAAACTTTTTTTGAACGGGACAAAGTTTAAACTTAAGTTTTAAGACAGTTAAAAATAAAAAGTAACTTAAATTACAGTAATTTGAGATTCCAAAAAAACATACAATTACCATAAAACCTGTAGGAGCCTAGAAGCCCCTCTAACTTTTGACTTTGAGCCAATTTATCTCGGTTCCTTTCAAAGTTATCAAAAAGTTGTCAACTGAGAAAATGTTTATCATAATATCACAAACATTTTATCAGTTGACACAATTTTGATATCTCTTATAGGAGTCGAAATAATTAAGCTCAAACTTGACAGCGAGGGGTTTTAAATACGGTTAAAAAATATATTTTTTTTGTAATATATTTTTTTCAAAAAATATTTTTGATTCTAAAAATTGATTACTAGGTTTTCTATTCCAAAAAATCCAATTTTCCCATCAAAAACTCTGCATTCTCTGCTCAAAAACCAAGAAATCAGAGTCCAGAATGTAACCTGATACTCTCGAAGGAGGGAGGCTGTAGAAAATGGAATGAATAGGAAAAGAAGGAAAAAGGAGAGAGACCAGTAATTTGAGTGTATGGATGTTTAAATACTACTACTTCTACTGTCTATTCCCTTCTCATTCTTAATGGTCTTCTTATTCTTCACAGTGAAAATGACCAGTTTTAGTTTCAAGTGTTTTCCCAAATACCCCTCATTCGGTGAGAAAGGAACAGGTGTTCCTGGAAGGAACCTTTTTGGGACCCAAAAAATGGTAGAAAACGCTCAAAAATCTGAAGTTGTGAGTAACAAATTTAGATTTTTCGGGTCCGAAAACCTAGAAATTAAAATTTTGAAGTTTTCAATACTTCTAAACACCATAACACTCTAATAGAACGACCTCGCCCCTCTCCAAGCAGTGAACTTTAAGCCTATATATCTCAGTTCCTATAAAAGATACCAAAAAGAAGTTAACTGAAAAAATGTTGTCGTGAAATGAGCAGTATTTTATCAGTTAGTTTCTTTTTGATATCTTTTACAGGAACAGAGATATATAGGCTCAAAGTAATCGGACCTCCCGGGGGGAGAGAGGGAGGAGGAAGGGATCTGTCCCTTTGAGCCCATATATCTCGGTTGTTGTAAAAGATATCAAAAAGAGATCAATTAATAAAATGTTTTTAATATTTTGATTAACATTTTGTTAGTTGATCACTTTTTTATATCTTTCACAGGGACAGAGATATATTGGCTCAAAGTTGGAAACACTTTGAGTGGCCTATATTTTTTGTTTTGATGTCTGATATCAATGAGGGGGGAAAATTGAAAAATTGAAAATTGAGAGAAACTTCCACCTGATTTTTTCAATTTGTAACAATACAAGAGATTCAGAGAAAAATAGGAAACGAAAAAAAACATTTCAAAAATCAAGGACCAGGAAATTGAAAAAAAAATCCAGGAAAACTTGAATTTTGGAATCAATTTTTTTTTCAAGTCAATAAAAGTTGAGCTCTATTATCTCGATTCCTGTGAGAGATATCAAAAAGTTGTCAACTAATAAAATATTACTGATATTATGATAAACAATTATTCAGTTGACCCCTTTTTGATATCTTTCACAGGAATCGAGATATATGAGCTCAAAGTTACAGGTTCTACAGTATCCTAAAAACTTCAAATTCTAATTTTTTAATGATGTAAAAATCATTTCTATAATGTAAAAACCAACATAAATATTTTGTCCACACAAAAATCATCCCAAAAAGGGATTAAATTGTCACAAAATTTTGTCATTTTATGGTGTCCTCTCTCTCTCTCCCTCTAAAAGAGTCCCCAAAAGCGATAGAGTGTTAAGGAGGATGAGAGACGCAGACATAGATTAAATTGCGGTTTGAAACGACGTTAATTCGGTTTTCTGGGAGAAGAAGAAGCATTTCTCATCTCTCTATTTTGAGAAACACAGAGAAAGACAGAGAGATGCTCTCTCCCGGGGTGGTTGCTCAGTCAGTCTCCTAATGACAAAAGGATTGGTAGAAAGGAGAAGAAGAAAATTGAGAAGAAGAAGAAGAAGGAAAAATGATGGATTGGGGTTTTCTGGAGGAAGTGTGACAGGTTGTACACATAGCTTTATACCTAGCAGGGGCTTCGGAAGTTACCGATTTGGCGGAAATTGAAAAAATGGTTCATAATTTGAGCTAGCTTTGATACCCTACATAAGCAATTCAAAATATTTCAATTTGTTTGAAACTTTCAGCATATACTAAACAAAACAAGAGCTTCATTTTTGTAGTTGAACACTTTTTTGAAAAATGGGTCTTGAAGAGATATGCCACGTGAAAGAGGACATGTCTTGACTCGCGCCAACCCGTGGGAGGGAGCAGGCGCCAAAAGAGAGGGACGCTTCCAGGTGGCATATCTCTTCAGGGCTCAATCGTCAGAAAAAGTTGTCCACTATAAAAATAAAGATCTAGTTTTGTTTAGTACATACCAAAAATATTGATAAAAATTGGAAAAGTTGGAGCTGTTTTGTAGTAGCTCGAAAATTCGATTTTTCAGCTAAAATCGTGAAAAACACACATTTTCGATTGAAAAGTTACATATTTAGAATTTTTTTCAATCTGTCTGAAAATTCTGGAATACACTAATCAAGACTAGAGCTTCATTTTTGCAGTTGACAACTTTTTTGAAAAATAAGGTCCTGAGGAGATATGCCACGTGGAACCACACCCTTTTGGAGCCTGCTGCCTCGCTAGGGTGGGCGCGCCTCAAGGCATGTCCTCTTCCACGTGGCATATTTCCTCACGACCTGATTTTTCCAAAACGTTGTCAACTACACAAATGAAGCTCTAGTTTTGTTTGATATAACCTGAACTTTTCAAAAAAATTCGAAAAATGTGAGATAGTTTTGTAGAAGCTCAAAAAATGAAAAAATTTGAGGATCCAAAAATTGTTTTTGAAATTTCTTATTTTTCTGTGACAAACCCACAAAAATGGTCAAATAGTTTGTCAAATTTTCCTGTCGGCACCAATCCTTTTGTTCTTTTTCCTCGTTGTTTTTTTTTGATTCCCAAATTCCCTTGTTCGGGGGAAAATAAGAAAAGAGGAGGCTAAACGGAAAAATGCCTAATTCCAAAATTGAAGGGATTTTTCAAAAAAAAAAGAAACTATGCAAAAGTGCTCTACTGAAACTTTCCTCCAAATGCGCTCTATTGGATAAACCAGTTTTTGAGCTTCCTGAATCTGTTAGTTAGTCTTGAACTATGCAATTTTGCTCTATTGGACTTTCAAGGTTCCAGAAGGTCTAGTTTTGAAGGTGGGATTTCAAATTACCCCTGAACTTTTAAATGCGCTCTATTGGACATTTATAGCCTGGAAATCTATAAATCAAGATATTTTTAGATTCCAAAAAGTTACAAAGCTTCCTGCTAAAGAAGCTAAGAAAAAAAAAGAAAACGAGTTTTTTTTCTTTTGTCCTCTTTCTCCCAAACAGCCACACATGTGTTTGGGACAATTTTTATGAGCAAAAAGTGTCAGAAGGAAAGGGAAAGCCGAAAAAACGGGAGAAAAAAGAGACACTTTAGTAGTGGAACTATGCATTTGAAATTGGATTTTGAGTCTTCGAAAAAAAAAATTCGAAATGGGAAGGAAGCATTTTATTTTGGGACGTTTTTTTGGGGAGGGGGGGGGGATTAAGAATGTAGGGACCAGAGATTTTATATACAGATAGTGTATGTAATTAGAGAGTTGAAATCTTGAAAATTGCGATTAAAAAAAAAAAGTAAAAAACAATTTTTCTGGAAAGTTTTTCAACTTTGAGCCGAATTATCTCAATTTCTGTAGAAGATACTAAAAACTTGTTAACTGATAAAATATTTTTGATAAAATGATAAGCATTTCATCAATTGACAATTTTTTGATATCTCTTACAGGAACTGAGATAAATGAGCTCAAAGTTGGAAGATTGGTTGGACTTCTATTACAGGCTTCAAAAATGGATGGGTATTTCAAATTAGAATGAATCTCATTTAGAATTAGAAATTCTACTAATTCTAACTGCCAGAATAAGAATAAATGTCTCCATTTCACGTTATTTCGTGTCAATTGACAAGTGCCTCCTCCCTTTTCTTCCTCTTCTCATGGATTACGAAACAAGTCCCACCGGGGGAGAATAGAGAGAGAGAGAGTATGCAAATTAGAGAGACGGCAGAGAAATCGTATTGTGTTTGCTCACTTAACACTCTTGATATGATATGCCCAACCTCTGAGGAGCATGATCCTTGAACCAGAAACAAGTTGTCTTGGAACATATGTATGAGCAATCATGACCTAGAAATCTGGATTTCTTTGGAATTCAAAATCCTGGAAGATCCAGTGGAGGTGGGGCAATTCGTTTGAGAGATTTTCAAATTTTGTCATTTTTGAGCTTCTACAAAACTATGGCAAACTTTTTCGATTCTTCTGAAAATGTTAGAGTACATTAAACAAAAACAGGGCTTCTTTTTTGTAGTTGACAACTTTTTTGAAAAATTATGTCCTAGGGAGATATGCCACGTGGAAGCTGGCGCACCTACTGACACTGAAATCGACAGTAAGCGCAGCCGCGTTCTCAAGCGGCGTATCTCATATTTGAATAGTTCAAAATTTTTAGAATTTCTAGAATACACTAAACAAGACAAGAGCTCCATTTTTATAGTTAACAACTTTTTTTGAAAATCAAGTCCTAGGGAGATATGTCAACTTTCCCAAAATGAGTATATTTTTTGCAATTTCGGTCAAAAATGAATCTTTTTTTGCCTGTCTGAAAATCTAGTTCAAATTTTTTCGATTTATTTGAAATTCTCAAAATATACTAAACACGACTAGAGCTTCATTTTTGTAGTTGCCAAC